CTTCCTTCCATTACACGTTATAAACATAATATTTTCGTACTCGGCAGAAAATATTTATAAAACCATATATTTTGAGCGTATGGTTACAATTTAAAATGGATTACTGCATGTTGTTATGAAATTTAATTAAATGTCGATTCAGACAAAACCACTAAGTTACTCGTTCTACAGCTATTGAATTTTTWAATTTTTTTTATAACTTTTACTCGAGATACGGAGTGGTTTGATAAATAAGTTGATTCAATGGTACAGCGTACATATAATTATATTAATATTCAAGTACAATATTTCTGCGRTATTATGTATGCTGGAGTATGTATATGGACACAAAGAGAGTACATGAATAAAGTAGACAAAGAAAAAATCTCCGATAACAATGTACACATTAATAATGCCAGTTTAAAGACGAACTGTAGGTATGTACGATTATTAAATAACGATTATAAAATAAGTGCCACGTGTTTTGAAACTATAACGTGTATTATATCTGCAGATATCATAAAAGATAGTGAAATAGATAAATAAAAAATAATATTATACACTGCACAAAAAGTTATACAGTTATACTCACGTTGAGGTTTCTTATGTTGACATKTAAAAATTATCGTTGGAAGTACAATGGAAGTAAAAAACAAACAAAGGATATTATTAATGTGATTTAAAACATATTATTATATTTTACTAGATGTAATAACTAACGTATCTTGTTAATTAATTAATTAATAATATTTAAAGGATCACAAGCGAATAATCTTTTGTAATCAATTAAATTGACTGTTTACTCYGTTGTATTAAAAACGACATTTAAAATAAGGCATAAACCTTAAAAGTAAGTATTCAAAAGACAGTTATATTGAACATTGGGTACCTACCTATATCTAAGCCCCCAAATTCTTATTATAATGCATACTAAATCATCTATATCTTTTGTGAACAAAAAGAGACCTTAATTATATTTTAACAGTCAATCGTTATATGAGACAAATTACAAATAGTGGCAAACTTATTGGCTCGTCGTATAATGATAACGATGATCGATGGCTCAACCGCTGTACACTTGTACAGTTTTAACGACAAACAACCGTAACCTATCAATCGAACGAATTCRATGTAATGTACTTCTGCCTGTAAGTTGTCTATGGTTTTTATTTATGRTCATAATATAAATATTATATTATTAAATTCCAAGTTTATTATAATAGTGTCACTTCAAAGACAAGGGCGCCTACAAGTTGTTATGCGATAAAAGTAAATAAAATATTTACACGACACGATTATAATATCACAGATAGATCAACCAACAATATTATGTTCCGTTGACGTTTTCAAATATTTACGATGAACAAATTCATCAATATGGTCAGCCTGGCCAAATACGACCTATCACTTAATCTTAATAATATACGTATTGCATTTCATCGGTCATCACTCATAATCCTGGATGGGTTGTAATGCTTTCCATAATTTTCACAAAAATGCGGACCAATGATCGAACAATTTTTTTTTCAAGTTATTATTGACATAAATATAATATAATGATGACAATGTTTTGAAATAATAWTATTAAAATCATTATACTGAGAAAAAAAATGCTTCAATGGAGCATCATGTACTTACTATTTCTTTTTTTTGCTTTTCCCTATAAGATATTATTCTCCTAACAATAGATCTAGGTTATACGACTATAAAATGTTCATTAAATGGTTCATAAATATTAAGCATTCATTGTTATTTAAAGGACGGAAGGAATGCCAAGAAAAACGGTTTACCCGTTTTATAATTTTCAACATTCAAAATGTTTCTTCTTTTTAAAAACGTATAACTCGGTTTCTAATTCTAAAGTTGTATAAGACTAAGATTATGTTCCGTCAAATTTACTCACGAGGTTATACTTACCTAGGTATTGACATCCAAATCGTTAAAAACAAATTATATTTTTACTCAAACGTTGGCGATATTAAAGCCACTTAAAATCTGTTTCTTGTTTCAAACAAAAATTGTTTTAATATAATATCAATATAAGCTACGGCACAATGCTAATCCATCTTCGCTTATGGTTACCTAAAATAAAAATATATAACGGAAATCTGATTGTTTTAGGTAACTATTTTAGGATATACTTGGGAAGTGACTGAATCTGATTAGACTGTCACGTATGAATAACTATGCCAAAATGAAAACAATCATTTTAGGCATATTGTGATCACAGCATTCAAAATCACGTCACATAAGGGTAGTGAGCACGCAATTCACTCTCGCCCACCCTACTTACGCACTCCGGAAGCGGACTTCGGGTGTTCCAAGTCCACTGCCGTTATCGTTTCCGGTGTCGCCATCTTCACTTGACTGTCGCGGGCCATCGGAATACCGGACACGCGAGCGCGGCAAACGCGCCTCGCAGATGGCGCTATACGATACACCGCGTGACGGTGACCGTAACCGCGTTCTTGGTCGGGCGGGTCCTCCACTCCCACCGCATCCATAAACCGACGACTGAACGTTCGCAAGAGACGGTGTTGTGCTTGTGCGCGCGTACCCGTGGTAACCCGTTAGTAGACGATGTAGATCAGATGTAAAAGCACTGTTAACGCTGTTGTTTTTGTAGTCGTCGATATTTCATAATAATATACAATATAATAATGTTATTACAATAGGATCACGATTGTTTAATTTGTTGGTTTTGTTTGTCTCGTTATATTTACATTCTAATTCGATTATCAGTGTACGTGATAAGAGCGCATCTCCAAGTCCCCGTGCTACATTAGTACCTACCATATCGTCGACCATGCTCCCGTCGAAAGTCTGACCTGAGGCAGTGTATTTATATACATACAACGGTTTTATTGTAAGTACTCACGAATTTCGAATAATATTATAATTTACCTAATACATATATATATATATATGACACATAATATATACTGGTATTAGAGTATTATACCAAGTTTAACGATCAATACGGCGCCGGGAATCGCGGCGCCGTGCTAAAATCGAACTTGTCAACTTGGGCACAGGAAACGCACATACGCACACGTAGCCTGACTTACGATCGGGTTTATTGAGAAAACGACGGTCGATCGTCGTATAATCGTATCGTTAGGTTGTGTTTTATATTATTTTCGCATCAAAATGTCACAATACGAGAATATTTTGTTATATATAGAGAGTAGATATTACATTCGTAGTGGTCGTACACAGCACAACACAATAATATTATTATTATTATATCGATTTTGCATGTACCACCCGCCAATTACGCAACAGTGCACAGTCAAACAACATCAACAACAACAATAAATAATAATACTTGGGGGGGCAGTATCGATTTTCGTAACCCTATATATTATTGTGGCAATATATGCTGCATCAGGTACGCGTGCATAATAGCAATATTATGTTATCGTTTTTATTATAATAATTACTATTATTGTTGTTATTTATTGCTATGTATGTGTCTATGTCTATATCAGTGGTTGAAGCACCTGCAGCCTTTCGATTAGTAGGTATATTCTTATAGGTAATGATTGCCAGAAATGTACCTGTAATCCACTTTTCAAAGCCGATACGAGCATTGTGCCTAACCACCAAATTTCGCACCGACGTCAATAAATAATTATATATTACACAGCCCCATACTTAGTCCGCTCATATCATATTTTAGGTTCCAGTACAGAACTAAATCTGGGCCCCTCTTAAATAACAATTAATTTTGAAACATTTTTCTAATATATATTGAAGTAATTATTTGCATGAACGATGGGCCCCTCTAAAGTCCAGCACCCAATAGAATTGATCCTTCTGATCCCCTCTCTTGTAGGGCCTTTCAAATACTAAGTTGACTGGAGTGTATCATCCCATAAACCATGTAATGTATAAAATTATAAATATTGAAGTAAATGTGTTTGTAGCTTTTGTCGTTGTCAAAATATATGCCATGGCCTTTCTAATTTTCACAATATAACTTAAAATCCATATGGATCAAGTGTCAATTTAACTATCTTAAGTATAAATATTGTTTTACTTCTAATTAATTTTAATAGATTTAGAAGTGTATCTCCCCAATTTAATACCACGTAAATAATTAACTATATCCCTGCAGAACCAATCCAAAATAATTTATAGGGAATAGGGATATGATTTATGAGGGTTTAGCATAAGCTTTTGCTCATTTATGTTGTACTATTATTAAGGTGAAAAAGTTTGAGGAAATAAACGCTGGTCACACGATGCTGCCATAATACTTTTCAATTAAATATCTCGAGCTTCGGTTTAAATCATTTAATGTCTTTCAACACAAACAAGATGAAAAAAAAATTAATGAGTTGGTAGRTAGGAACCTAATGAAGTTGAACGTTTGATAATCATGGTTACAATATTATTCTTTTATATTACCATATGCTAAAAACTGAATAACATAGTATAAATAACATATAATTTAAAGAAAGAGGTTTTACAATGAATTTTCTAAGAATGCGTAATTGCTACATAATCATAATTACTAGAGAATTGATTGACACATCAGGTAAAGTCACGTCAGTTTAAAGCTAGTTCAGACTTTACAAGACAGGATAGGTCATCTATTGACATAATCGTGAGTAGGTAAATATGATTATTTTTTATATCAATTAGCAATCCCATATCTAAAACAACCAATAAAAAAACACGAGACGAATAAAATATTATCATCATTCATCATCGTTGCTGGAGTCTCATTTGTAATTATAATTTAAAAAACAAAAACATTTATTCCTATAATAATATTTATTATCTACAATATTAACAATGCACAATCATCTTTCAAGTTTTGTTTGTTGCATAGAAATTTTAATTATTTTTTAAAACATTTGAACAAAAATTGTGGGTTTAGGGTAAGTAGGTGTTAGGAAGGTATAATATTATAATGATAATATTTGAGATAAATAAATAAATTTAGAATGTATAATAATTTGGTGGTTATAAAATACTTACTGTAAGCAATAGTTTTGCAGTAACTAACACGAATTGTATTGTGTTATAAACTAACAATTTTATTTTTTTTAATGGGAGTATTCAACATTTATTTTTAGGGTCACCAAACGAAATCCCCTAAAATTATTTCTAGGAAATATCTTTTAAATAGACACACTAGCTCATAATATTATATTTTAAATTTTTGGTAAATTTAATTCATCAAGTACTTACCTATTATTTTAATTTTAATTAAATAATAGATATAACAATTTTGAAATTTTAATGCTAACATTACAAACAATTTCGTTAACAGTGTTGGTGACATTAAAGAAGATTGTTACTTCAAAAATATTCTGAACTACTGTTATACATCACATTTGAATGCAATTAATTTATGGTGAATATGTTATAAATCTATATACAATTGTATTATACAAATTATAATATGAACTAAACTCAATCAATAAGTGGCAAAAGAATTAATTTTATAATTATGTTATAAATTGCATATCAAGCTGTAACCACTATCTGTAACAACTATTATAATATTATGTGCGGTACATGATAAACTAGTTTGTTTGCAGTATGTGTTCAAGTGTGATGCTTAATACTTATTAGAAGGGTGCTTAAAATATTTATGCAAAAACTATAACAGTGTAAACGTCAATCTGTATTCTGTACAAGTAATTAAGCATATGACAATCACCAACCACCGTTTGAAGAAAATTTGATTAAAATTATCAAAACCTTAAGCTTTGTTAAAACGCATTATTTTTCTCAAAAGTAATATATTATTAATCCAGGAGCAAATTTATTTGTTAATTATTTATTAACGTCTTATATTACTGACAATTTAAAAATTAGAAATATGTCAAATCCGTTGCTTGGATCTCCTGGAAATATGAATGTGTCACTATTATATCAAAAATACTATAGTAATTGACGAACTATTATTATTAATAATAATAGTATTTATTATTATTTAATTGGCAAGATCCAAATTATCGATATTCTATTATTGGATGCAAATTTCAAATTTCAGTGACATTGCAAAAAAAGAACAGTTTGTTTGTTAAAATTTGTCGATTATCTATGTCTATGCTCGTATAGTGTGTAATATAATAACGATTATAATATGTTTTCTCTGTACTCAATAAATCCAGGTCTCCGAAATAAAAATGTATTTAAACAATAGTAACGAAATAATATGAAGAGGATCAACAAAGAATATTACACAATATAACTGATTTCTTTTTTTCGTGTGTGTTTACAATGTACCACATAAATATTGTATTATCTTCATACTTTATACATCAATGTTACAGTAAATATCGTAGTACGTATCTGCTGAAAACATCGGTCTTGATATAATGATTCTTAAAAACCAATTAAAATTATATCTATAAAATTAAAAAAATGTAATGCTCTTGTTAAAGCTAATACCTTCTGTAGTTGGCCAACAAAGAAAAAACTATTATATCTGTAACGATGATGTTATTTATTTAAAACTATTTATATATAAACTACTAATAATGAATTGATAATTATGGTAATTTACGTATTAATAAATAATCAATAACAATATGTAAAAACGAGTGGGTTATTATTTTTTTTTCGAAAACCAAACAACGTACACGTCCATAATGTCGATGGCCTTCGCTAGTGCAAAATTTTCACTGTATAGACGATTTAGGTTAATTGATGTTTTTTTCTTTCTTTTATATTGTGTTATTTTCTCTTGCACATATATAGAGTTATTAAACCACCAAAACTATAGATAGGTAATCAAATGATGAAAAAAATTATCGTGTTTCTGTCCAATCTGCATTAATATTGATTATTCTACACAGTGGTTTATGTACAAGTTGCAGTTATATGTACCTATTTCATATTGTAGTATAATATTTCATTATCGCCTCGATTTTTTTTCCTTCTTTGTAACTCACAGTATCTGTAATGACGAGCCTATCACGGTTCATAGTATGTAGTATATTGTATCGTATACGATATATTACTATTTATAACTAATAGACGTTTAATGATGCGGTCACTTATTAAATTTACAGTCAACTCATTTTTATATATATTTTTTTTACAAGCCACGAAGATATCTCTCGTAAAAAAATATTTATATTTGAACGATAAAAGCGTAATAAATTTGTGTTAAAAATGTGGCCTGCAATAAGATTTGATTCTGCAGATGTTGTTTAGTCGTGAAATGTTTGCACTATTTTCTGACGTCCGAATTGTGTTAGTTAGCCGATGATAAAATGCATAAAAAAATAGATATATAATGTCTAAAAATTTGCCGTATCTAATATATATTTTTTATATTATACCTATCATAAATTGGCTATAAATTAGCCGTCTCGAAATGTCGGCTCAGAAGTTTTATGTCACATCATATAATTCCAGTACCTATATACTTTCTACAAGCATCGGAAAAATTTTTCCGTACGTATTTTACTCAGATTAACACTTTAATTCGTTGTTTGGTCTATTATAGGTATCTAATATTTATTCATATGAAATAAAAATTTGACATTTACAGCTAAAGTTGTGTTTTCACGAATTATACTTCTGGAACAAAAATAAAAGTTACCATGTTGACACTAGAATACTATGAAATGAATATTTAATAACACAACTACATACCTACTAATCCAGCTGTATTTGTGTGTATGTGCGTTGGGGCTTGGAATTTAATAGTTTGTATACACAAAAGAAATAGGTTATGGCGCACGGCCGGACTATGATGAAATCAAATATAAATCACGATCTTGTAATTAGGTGCACTAGGTCATGTTTAGCACGAAACGAGAGTGTAAACATTGATTTTCGTTATTTCATCCAAGTGAATGAGTTTCGACTCGATGTCAAATATATATTCGTAGA